AAGGCCATATATGACAAACCCACAGCCAACATCATCCTCAGTGCTGAAAAACTGAAAGCATTTCCACTAAGATCAGGAACAAGACAAGGTTGCCCACTCTCACCACTCTTATTCAACATAGTTTTGGAAGTTATAGCCACAGCAATCAAAGAAGAAAAGGAAATAAAAGGAATCCAAATCAGAAAAGAAGAAGTAAAGCTGTCACTGTTTGCAGATGACATGATACTATACATAGAGAATCCTAAAAATGCTACCAGAAAACAACTAGAGCTAATCAATGAATTTGGTAAAGTAGCAGCATACAAAATTAATGCACAGAAATCTCTGGCATTCCTATACACTAATGATGAAAAATCTGAAAGTGAAATCAAGATAACACTCCCATTTACCATTGCAACAAAAAGAATAAAATATCTAGGAATAAACCTACCTAAGAAGACAAAAGACCTGTATGCAGAAAATTATAAGACACTGATGAAAGAAATTAAAGATGATACAAATAGATGGAGAGATATACCATGTTCTTGGAATGGAAGAAGCAACATTGTGAAAATGACCATACTACCCAAAGCAATCTACAGATTCAATGCAATCCCTATCAAACTACCACTGGCATTTTTCACAGAACTAGAACAAAAAAATTCACAATTTGTATGGAAACACAAAAGACCCCGAATAGCCAAAGCAATCTTGAGGACGAAAAACGGAGCTGGAGGAATCAGGCTCCCTGACTTCAGACTATACTACAAAGCTACAGTAATCAAGACAGTATGGTACTGGCACAAAAACAGAAAGATAGATCAATGGAACAGGATAGAAAGCCCAGAGATAAACCCATGCGCATATGGTCACCTTATCTTTGATAAAGCAGGCAGGAATGTACAGTGGAGAAAGGACAGCCTCTTCAATAAGTGGTGCTGGGAAAACTGGACAGATACATGTAAAAGTATGAGATTAGATCACTCCCTAACACCATACACAAAAATAAGCTCAAAATGGATTAAAGACCTAAATGTAAGGCCAGAAACTATCAAACTCTTAGAGGAAAACATAGGCAGAACACTCTATGACATAAATCACAGCAAGATCCTTTCTGACCCACCTCCTAGAGAAATGGAAATAAAAACAAAAATAAACAAATGGGACCTAATGAATCTTAAAAGCTTTTGCACAACAAAGGAGACCATAAACAAGACCAAAAGACAACCCTCAGAATGGGAGAAAATATTTGCAAATGAAGCAACTGACAAAGGATTAATCTCCAAACTTTATAAGCAGCTTATGCAGCTCAATAACAAAAAAACAAACAACCCAATCCAAAAATGGGCAGAAGACCTAAATAGTCATTTCTCCAAAGAAGATATACAGATTGCCAACAAACACATGAAAGGATGCTCAACATCATTAATCATTAGAGAAATGCAAATCAAAACTACAATGAGGGCTTCCCTGGTGGTGCAGTGGTTGAGAGTCCGCCTGCTGATGCAGGGGACATGGGTTCATGCCCCAGTCCAGGAAGATCCTACATGCCGCGGAGTGGCTGGGCCCATGAGCCATGGCCGCTGAGCCTGTGCGTCCGGAGCCTGTGTTCCACAACGGGAGAGGCCACAACAGTGAGGGGCCCGCGTACCGCAAAAGAAACTACAATGAGATATCATCTCACTCCAGTCAGAATGGCTAAAAATCTAGAAACAATAAATGCTGGAGTGGGTGTGGAGAAAAGGGAACACTCTTTCACTGCTGGTGGGAATGTGAATTGGTACAGCCACTATGGAGAACAGTATGGAGGTTCCTTAAAAAACTACAAATAGAACTACCATATGACCCAGCAATCCCACTACTGGGCATATACCCTGAGAAAACCATAATTCAAAAAGAGTCATATACCAAAATGTTCATGCAGCTCTATTTACAATAGCCAGGAGATGGAAACAACTGAAGTGTCCATCATCGGATGAATGGATAAAGAAGATGTGGCACATATATACAATGGAATATTACTCAGCCATAAAAAGAAACGAAATTGAATTATTTGTAGTGAGGTGGATGGACCTAGAGTCTGTCATACAGAGTGAAGTAAGTCAGAAAGAGAAAGACAAATACCTTATGCTAACACATATATATGGAATCTAAGAAAAAAAATGTTATGAAGAACCTAGGGGTAATCGGGACAAAGACACAGACCTACTAGAGAATGGACTTGAGGATATGGGGAGGAGGAAGGGTAAGCTGTGACAAAGTGAGAGAGTGGCATGGACATATATACACTACCAAACATAAAATAGATAGCTAGTGGGAAGCAGCCGCATAGCACAGGGAGATCAGCTCGGTGCTTTGTGACAACCTCAATGGGTGGGATATGGAGGGTGGGAGGGAGGGAGACGCAAGAGGGAAGAGATATGGGAACATATGTATATGTATAACTGATTCACTTTGTTATAAAGCAGAAACTAACACACCATTGTAAAGCAATTATACTCTAATAGAGATTTAAAAAAAAAACAAAACACCTATTTATAAGATCACAGCTGTATAGGTTGTTAAGTCTGAGCACCGCATGACTGGGTTCTCTGCTCAGAGCTTACAAGGCTGAAATGAAGGTAGTGGCCAGGCTGAGCTCCTTTTAAGGCCTCCTTTCTTTGTTCTTGGCCAAATTCAGATCCTTGCAGCTACAGGACTGAGGTCTTGCTTTCCTTGCTGGTATCAACTATGGGCCACTCTCAGCTCCTCCAAGTCACCGACCTTCCTTGCAACATAACCCCATCCATCTCCAAAGCAGCAATGGAGAATCTCCCTCATGGTAATTCTTTCTCTAGCTCTGAATCTTTCTCCCCAGGAAGAGCCCAGTTCCTTTTAAGGGCTCGCCTGATTAGGTGATTAGGTCAGGCTCACTCAGGTTAATGTCTCTCTTTTTAAAGTTGACTGATTAGGGTCCTTAATTAGACCTGCAAAATCCCTTCACAGCAGCACCTAGATTAGTGTTTGCATAACTGGAGAGGGTGGAGATTTTGGGGACCATCTCAGAATTCCACCTACCACATATGATGAGATTCTTTATAAGCATATATTTTAGCCTCCTAGGGCTTCCATAGCAACATACCATAGACTGAATCCCTTAAAAAACAGAAATTTATTTTCTCACAGTTCTGGAGGCTGGAAATCCCAGATCGAGGTGTCAGAAGGTCTGTTTTTTCCTGAGGCCCTTCTCCTTGGCTTAAAGATGGCCACTTTCTCACTGTGTCCTCACATGGCCTGTTTCTCTGTGCACAGGTATCCCTGGTGTTTCTCTCTTCTTATAAGGACACCAGTTACATGGATTAGGGTTCCAGCATATGAATTTTGGGGGAGGGGCAGACACAATTTGGTCCATATTTGTCTAATAACAAAACTAAGAGCTAATATTTGAGCTACTAAGCAGGTATTATGCTAAACATTTTTGATAGGCTATCTCACTTAACATAAATCATTAGATTAATTATATATCAGTATATAAGAGCTAATATTTGAGCTACTAAGCAGGTATTATGCTAAACATTTTTGACAGGCTATCTCACTTAACATAAATCATTAGATTAATTATATATCAGTATAACCATTATATAAAATTCCAGCTTTGGGCTTCCCTGGTGGCGCAGTGGTTAAGAATCCACCTGCCAATGAAGGGGACATGGGTTCAAGCCCTGGTCTGGGAAGATCCCACATGCCGTGGAGCAACTAAGCCCATGCACCACAACTACTGAGCCTGTGCTCTAGGTCACGGGAGCCACAACTGCTGAGCTCACGTGCCACAACTACTGAAGCCCACGTGCCTAGAGCCCGTGCTCCGCAACAAGAGAAGCCACCGCAGTGAGAAGCCCATGCACGCAACAAAGGGTAGTCCTGGCTCATAGCAACTAGAGAAAAGTCCGCATGCAGCAACGAAGACCCAACGCAGCCAAAAATAAAATAAATAAATTTATTTAAAAAATTCCAGCTTTATCAAAATATTTCCTATGTTCTTGATTAGAAATTCTACACAATTTTTATCGATCTGATTCTTAGAGTACTCTGTCTCTACTATGCTCCATTCTGAGGGTGGTTTTTCATTCACTGATCAAATTTTATTGATCATCTATGAGCTTGGTACAGAGGCACAAAGGTTAGTAATCAAAATTCCTGCTCTCAGAGTATAGGCTAGAAGGGAAGATGTATTTTATGTGTGCGTCTCCACGTACATTTTGAAATATCTTACATAAAAGGTATCAATTATATTTATAGAACCATTCCGCACATGTAAGTTCTTATGAAAGCTGAGGCACTAAAAATTAAAATAATTTCAAAAAAGGGGGAAATCCTCTGATTATTTGGTTTTACATTACCTTCTTCAGCTGCATCAACCCTAACTGCAGCAACACATTCTTTTATATGTGGCTTTAGACTGAATTTAGACTGGAAAAAAGCCAGCTGGGATTTGAAAGTGAGAAGTAATTATGACATAAAAGTGCAACACCTGACTGGGTAAAGCGCTTCAAATTCCACTCGCTCTGCTCAAGAAAAGAAAAAAATTATCTTTAAAAAAATTTATTTTCTCACTGTCCAACTCGTTCACCTTTCATGCTACGAACACCGATACCTTTTCTCCTGCAGGAGGCAAAGGCAGCACTCGCAGGTGGAAGGAGATCTCCAGATTTGCAGGCCGAGTTGCTTCTCAGCTGTGGGCGGGTGTGGTGACAGCACCCCAGTGAAGAGAGTCTTCCCCTCCCAGCCCCAGCTCTTCTTCCCTTGCTCGCGACCCGTGGCCCCCTTGCTGAGCTCCGCACCCAGCTCCCTGGCTCAGCATCTATTCCCTCGCGCCGGCTACAGGAGCGTGGACTGCGCAGGCCCGGCACAAAGGCCCCCGCCCAGCCCCTGGTCCCCGGATCCCCGCCCCCAGCCCGGGCCACGCCTCGCCACGTGCGGTCGCGGGCTGATAAACGGCTTCCGCGCCCCGCGCGCCTCGTCGCAGTTAGCGGCAGCTCGATTCGCGCTGGCTCTTCCCTTCGATTCCCAAACCCCTCCAGTGAGCCCTCCGTCCATGGAGGGGGAAGAAACGTTCCTGGAGCTCTTCCTGGCCCGGTGCGCCACCCAGGTGAGCCTGGAAGCCGCCACCACGGTCCCAGAGTCAGGGTCCGCATCCCGCCCCATTGCTGGGCGCTGGGTGCTGCGCACTAAGGATTCTGCCTTTATTTTATCTCTCGTAAAACTCCTAGCGACCCTAGGAGGTGGGCTTGATTATCCCCGTCTTTCAGTTGAAAAACATAGAAGGTTCGAGAGTTGAAATAACTTACCCAAGGTTGCCAACAGAGCTCGAACCTGGTGTAGTATGAATACAAATTGGAGGCACTTGTGGCTTCTTTCAGTTTGTGATTCTTACGTTTTTTGGGTTTTGTTTTTTAATTTAAGAACTGTAGAAACGAGAGGAAGGAGTCTTCAAAAAGAAAAGCGAGGGAAAAACTTTCGGCTGGCGGGGTGGTGTCGGATTCTTTTTTTTTTTTTTTTTGCGGTACACGGGCCTCTCACTGTTGTGGCCTCTCGCGTTGCGGAGCACAGGCTCCGGACGCGCAGGCTCAACGGCCATAGCTCACGGGCCTAGCAGCTGTGCGGCATGTGGGATCTTCCCGGACCGGGGCACGAACCCGTGTCCCCTGCATCGGCAGGCGGACTCTCAACCACTGCGCCACCAGGGAAGACCCGGATTCTTTTTTTTTTTTTTTTTTAAATTTTATTTATTTTTGGCTGCATTGGGTCTTCGTCGCCGTGCGCAGGCTTTCTCTAGTTGCAGTGAGCGGGGGCTGCGCTTCGTTGTGGTGCACGGGCTTCTCATTGTGGTTGATTCTTTTGTTGCGGAGCACTGGCTCTAGGTGCGGGCCTCAGTAGTTGCAGCACGTGGGCTCAGTAGTTGCGGCACACGGGCTTAGTTGCTATGTGACATGTGGGGTCTTCCTGGACCAGGGCTCAAACCCGTGTCCCCTGCATTGGCAGGTGGATTCTTAACCACTGTGCCACCAGGGAAGTCCCCGGATTTTTAAATAGACAATGATTAGCAATGAGGTAGAAATAGTGAAGTCCCACAGCGTTTAACATTGCAAAAGGAGAGCCCACGCTGGAAAGGTTCTGAGAAAGATGAGTTAATGACTCTGCAAAGACAGTTTAACAAAAAGTTTCTTCAGGTATAAGGCCAAGGATGCAGGGAATACTCTGTAAGCATATTCTCTCTAAAGGAGGCTGTCAGGGTTCCACTGCCATAAAACATCCCCCTTTGATATCTTGTTGCCATTGCCTTAAATTCCTTGTTGAAGTTTAGTTCTTTGGGTGGAGGCTTTGTACCCTGCTAAAATGCCATAATGGGAGAAAGGAGGGGAGACACTGATAGTTGCAGGTATTAGTGCTTTAGTGTAAATTGGCTGATGGAATCTTTTCTGGCTAGAACAGAAGAGGCCAAAAAAACAATGGAGAGGAATCTGGGCCATTGTCCCCACCTCAGTGTCCCTCAGGGCCCATCTGTGGGATGGGGGTGGAGGGAGTTAGAGACTAATAACATAATTCAAAATGAAATAAGGTCAAATCTTATTTCCAGAGAATAAATGCATTCTTCTTAAGTGTTTTCTTCTAACATTTAGTCACCCCTGCCATCTGCTGGACTTGTGGTAACAGCACAATTCAACAGGATCTAGCCAGACACTAGCTAAATAGCTTTGTGATGGAGAAGATGCAGCACAAGGCACTGGGGACTGTTCAATTGTCAGAAGTATGATCTTCTAAGGGATGAGGTTATCCTGCCAGCAGTGGTCAAAATCTAGAATCCAGGCCTGCAGCTTGGGTGAAGTGGATGGTAATATATGTACCAAGGATTTTTTTCCATAACAAAGGCCATGAATTTTACATTAGCTGCTTCCCTCAGTTGCACGCCTCTTTCCCTCGGTTGATGATAATGGAAGTTGAGCAGCCTTCCCTGGACTGGAAGTATAATACATTGATTTAAACTAGTCTTACCATTTAAATTTCAATAACTTTCCCTATTGCACATTCACGTAAATGGAATGATTTCTTTTCCTTCCTTTGACTAGAAGAAATAAAGATGGCTCCTTGTGGAGGCTTGATTAGCACTCAAAGCTATCTCCTCAGCTTCCTTCACTTACTGCTCTTCTCTTTAAAATACGAATTTAAAACTCCAAAAAAATCTTTAAATCAACTTAAGGAGTACAGAAAATCTGTACTCTTCAAAGTACACACAGTTTAGAGCATGGTTGCCAAATTGCCTCAGTTACAAAATTGGATTTAGAGTGGCAACTTACTACAGGTCTAACCAAAGTAGGGAAAACATTTTATGAAAAATGCTTTTTCTGCATTTTAAGATATACTTTCCTGTTTTCGTTAAGTGTTGTAACCCTACAGTAGAATTTTAATGATATTTTGTGGAAAGAGCAGGGCATGAATATAAGCTACCTGAACTGCCTCATCGTGAACACACTGCCTGCCAGCCAAGGTGGCATCCCTTTGGTGTGACATGATGTTCTGTTTGTTGTGTTTTGTTTATGTTTTGGGAATGGCCTAGGATGACCTTGCTCCACCCAGATCACCCCTGCTCAGCCCAATTGTGCCTTATGATGTGTACATACCTAATTCATCCAATCCAGAGACTATGTTTAATTCACAGCTTGAAGAAGTCACAGAAACATCTGGCAATTTCTCATCTGTGGATCTTAGCTTCCTACCAGATGAGCTTACCCAAGAGAATAAAGAACAGACTGTCATTAGAAGCAAGCATGAAACTGAAGAAAATTGTAAAACTAAAAGTTGGCAAAGTAGGTTGCCATTACCCAGCCAACAGGACGTTGACCTGGCCTTAAACAGCAGCAGTGGGTCAAATTCCCATTCACATCTCCACCCTGGTGATGCTGGTGATGCTGACTCAGCCCAGCCCTCTCCTGAGAAACCACACTCCTTGCCTCTGGCATCCATAACTCCCATGACACCAGTGACCCCTGTTTCAGGATGTTCTGGAATTGTGCCTCAACTACAGTAAGTTGTTGTTGTTGTTGTTTTAAATGGGTGATGCTTCTGAGTACACATTTCATCAATATATTCCTGAATGGGATGATAATAGTGTAGGGAAGAGAATTTCAGATGTCATTTTCCTTGATTTTGTTAGTTCGTAATGGACTTCAGACAGTTTGGTTATCTGTAAAATGAAGCAGTAACTCTTGATCTCCTAAGAGGGAGTTAAAGGTGAGTATACACATTCTTGAAGGATTGTATTGTTTATAGTAAAGCACTGTAGTTGAACATTGTGGCTGGAGTTGGAATAACACAAAGGATATAAAGATGTAAAATTGAATTTGATTTGCAAGTTGATTTGATATTGTGATTTCTATTTTGAGACATTTTGAAAAAGGTCTAAAGCTTAATTTTAGTCAGCTAGTCAGGAAATTTTAGAAAAAGCTATTATTTTTGTTTGTTTGGCCTTGTGGCATGTGGGATCATAGTTCCCCGACCAGGGATCAAACCCGCACCCCCTGCAGTGGAAGCGAGGAGTCTTAACCACTAAATGTGTTATTATACATTTCACATTTAGAATAATTCTCCCCCAGGAAGTCACCCAAACCTATGAAATGAGGAAGTTAATACGTTTTAATTATTTTTTACTTTTCATATCTGGTATAACTTAGGTTGACTTATTTCTTTTTTTAATTATTATTTTTATTTTTTTATACAGCAGGTTCTTATTAGTTATCTATTTTATACATATTAGTGTATATATGTCAATTCCAATCTCCCAATTCATCACATAGGTTGACTTTTTTCTTTAGGAATATAGTTTCCACTGTAAACCTGGCCTGTAAATTGGATCTGAAGAAAATAGCTTTGCATGCAAAAAATGCAGAATATAACCCAAAGGTAAGATTTCCCAGTAATTTTTTCCACAGTTAGGTTCTATTTAGATTTTCTTTCCTTCATATGATCATGATATTGACTCATTCCTTTGTTTTTATTTTTTAAAAAGAAAAAAATTTGTTAGTGAAAAGCTTTTGGCAACACAAGTTTAATCGGCTCATTCTCTGTTTTGAACTTATAAAAAAATAATCTCATTTTCTGTGCTGAATACAGTAATTATTGAGCAGTTCCTAAAAGTTCTTTCCCTTGTCATTCAGAAAAACCTTTCAGTATGACTGTTTTCAACCTGACTATGGAAATGCTAACTTTCTTACAATGTCATCATATTCTTGGAAATAATTTTTTCTAATTTTTGTCCTATCTCCTGACACCTGTGTATTTTTCCATTTACAGTTTCTCTTACCTGAGAAAGCTCAATTGTTTAAAGTGTAAAGTTCAAGTGTAAGATTCAGGGATTTTTTTGTTTTCCGTCAAAGTTTAATAAAATCTTTCTTTTTTGTGTCCTCCCAAGGCCAGGCATCCCATTTTCAATGGTCTATTTACCTAGGAAGTGGATTTGTTAATTCAATCAACATTTAACAATTTGGTGGGCTCTGTACTTAGTACAAAGATGAGTGAGGCCTGGTCCCTGCTGGGAAAAAGTTTACTGTCTTGGGTGGGGGAGGATTTATGGAGTTAGATGAAAAAGGTCATATTAGTCGGAACCCAGAGGACCTTGCCAACATCAACTATTTATGGATTAAGTATTTGTTTTTCCTGTCATGTAGTGTTGTTGCTGACCTCTGAAGTGTTACCTGAATGTTACCGAATGCAGCTAAGCTTTCCTATTTATATTTCATGTAGCCGGCTATGATGAGGACAGAAAGGCAATGATGAGCTAGGATTTTTATGGCTGTAGCTACGATGGACCACACTATTGAGCAATCAACATTTTAAGCATATTTTATTCTCTACCATCCTCTGCTCTCCTCTCAGTTTGGTATACACAATCTGTCCAAACTTGGACTTGACAGCCAGAAAAATTCTGACTTGGCACTTAAGCTGCCTTGAGAATTTAACAAAATGAATGCCAGGTGAGAGCACTACCTTTTTAGTGAACACCTAGAAAACATTAATAGTCCTTGCTCGGCTCTGTGTAGTGCTGACTCAGGGTTCTTTTACTGTTAACACTTCATATCTGAAATTGCCAGTCTGGCCTTGGAGTGATCTGTTGTCCTGTGGAGGGGCTCTAACCCATGGAACTTTGGTCTTGCATGGTACCCACCCCAGTTTCCTTCCCAGCTTAATGGGGGAAGTCGATGTGGCAGGCCAGTGGTTCTCAGCCCTCCCCTGCGTCAGCAACACTTGGAGGACTTACCAGTGCTGCTGGCCTGGGGACCACATTGAGGACTATGGCGGGCAAGAGCTTGACAAATCAACTTTTTGTCATTCATCTTCAGAACACCTATCAATATATGTATTCTGTTCTATATTTTGGCTGCTTTTTAGTACATTCTAGAGTCTTGGCAAGGCTGTAACATGCTCCATACTTTTTTTTTCCTCAAAGAGTCTTTGAAAGAAAAGTATATCAAAGCAAAAAGCATGGAGTCTGATAGTCGTGGTTTTAAATCTCAACTTAACTGTTTCCTGTATAATGTTGGAAGTTAAATAACCACTTCGTTTCCCTGTGCACTAAATGGGAATTATAATGGATTCAGCTCAGTCCTGTCATGAGGTTAAATGCGATAAAACCTATAAAGCTCTTAGCATAGGGTCTGAAACATAACAGGTACTTAAATTTTAGCTTTACTATTATTATTCTTACCTGTTTTTTCAAAGTATGTATATTTTAGAATCATGATTGTTTTGTTAACCTTAACGTGGGAGAATAGACCCAGACAGGTTTTAGTTTTCCCATTAAATTTCAATTTATTCAACACTGTTTTCATGTCCAGCCCAGCTGGTCAGCTGGAATAGTGTTAACCCCTAGCAGAGGCTAATTGTCCTTTTGGCTTCTGTGTGTAGAGGTTTGCCGCCGTCATAATGAGGATCCGAGAGCCCAGGACTACAGCCCTGATATTTAGCTCTGGGAAAATGGTCTGCACAGGAGCCAGAAGGTAAGAGAAGCCGTCCTCCCGCACTACCAGACAAATAATTCACTATGTAAAACAAGGAAGGGTGGCATTAAGGTTCTAAAACACATCGTAGAAGCAAAATACTTTGCTAAGGAGTTAAATTCATGAAATGCCAAATTAAAAACATTCAGTTAAAATTAAATTCAGTTAAATTCAGCTTAAATTCAGTTAAAACATTCAGCCTCATAATACGGACTTATATCCCACTTTACAGTCCCCCATAGTGAAGGGGGCTTTACTAGGCTATTACAACTTGTTTCTAAGGTATATTTTAAAAGAAAAAAAAGGCTATAGTAGTGGTAAAGCCTGTTATAAACCTGGGAAAGAAGTTCTTGTGTATTTTCCTCATTGCAGGCAGAAGAATGGATAGAACTTTTTACAGGAGGGAAATTAGACATTTCTTGACCGCTAGCTTGAGCATTCACTCAGGAGGCAATCTCTTACAGGCTCATCTTTCCTGGATCTCATGCAGAGGTAGCCATGTGCTGATGTAGATCCTTTCACCATAGAACTAGTGGGAGAGCTGCTCTTCCCTCTAAGTGTTGGAGGATGAGTAGGAAGTTATCCTCCTGAAAGATAGTACCAATTTCTCCTCGCTCGAGAGATGCACCTAGTGTTCATTTTCTCTGGTAAACAGTGGGTGTTAATATTGTATTTTATATTTGCTAAATTGATTGGCAAAAAGTTGTTTTAATCACATTTCTTTTGATTTAGTAGTGAGACTAACTTTTCATAAGCATATAAACTACCTACTGTATCTTTTGCCCAATATTCTGTGGAGATATTTGTCTTTTGGTATTTAAGTATTTTCACCATTTTATACCACAAATATTTTTCCCATATTAATGTTAGTGGTATTTTATGGGTTTTTTTAATGCAATTTAATTTTGTGTGTGTACGGTTAGTCTATCCAGCTTTTTTCTTTATGGTTTCAGTGTTTGGCTTCATGTTTAGGAAGGCGTTCTCCACACACAACATGACATAAGTATTGACCTCCATATATTTTTCTGGTTTTTATCAGGTCCTGCTTTGTATTGAAGAAAGGAGGTTAATGTTTTGACTCATCTAGAACTTTCTCTGGATGATGGAAATGTTCTGTATCTGTGCTGTCCAATGTGGTAGTCTTTAGTCATATGTGACTTCTGAGCACTTGAAATAAGCTAATACCATGGAGGAACTGAACTTTTTATTTAATTTTAATTGATTTTAATTTAAATAGCCACATGTAGCTAGTGGCCACCATATTGGGCAGAGCAGGTCTAGAATTTTACTTCAATATAAGATCATTTTTTTCAAATGCCCAGTCAGTGTCCCAGTACATTTATAGAAGAATCTATTTTGCTGTATTTCTCCTCCACCTGTTTTTACATGTTAAGTTCTTTACCTGTGTCTGAGTAAGTTTGTGGCCTTAACTCTTCTGTTGATCTGTGTATCCTTTGACCTAGAAATCTCCATTTTTAAGTCATTTTTGGACAACTCTGCAAGATAACTACAAGGATGTTCATTTCAGCATTGTTTAAAACAGGGGCAGAGGGAACAAATTTCTAGCAATACAGTTTTGAATAAATCATAAAATAAAATTATTTAGCCATGTATAGTATATTGAGTTGGAAGGATAAGTTGTGGGAGGGGAGAACACACAGATTCATGAGTGTTTTTTTCCTAATTCATGAGTTTTTGTTTCCTATCTGAATTTATTTGGTTCCCAAAATCTGATAGTGAAAACTTGGATGGTGAGTTCAGATTATAAGAGATATTTGTTATCCAAATCTATCTGGTTGTTGAATTTTGGATAGAGAGTTGTCAAAGTTTGGTTAGTATAAGAGATATCAGAATTATCTCCAAAAATTTAACCAAACGTATTCTCTTTAGTTGCAATAATCAGAGTTTGCATAGTGCAGGATACCTGCCTTTGCACAGAAAAGTGCAGAGGAGCCAAATTTATCAGTGGTAATTACCACTGGTGGTGAAATTTCAAGGTTCTTAACCTCTTTTCTAATATTTGTACAAGAAAATGTATGTAGATTTTAACTGTTAGTTGTTTGAATGGGAATTTCTGTGTGATACAAGAAACTATAAGGCTATGCAAATTCTTGAAATTTGACCTTATAAATATTAGCACTATGTCATTTAGACAAAATGTGGTTTTTCAAAATGGAAACCACTTATTTCACTGCTGTCTTGGGGACACGGCCTTGCTAGGGACTTTTCAGGAGTTGGTAATGGATGAGGAGAATCAACATGAAATGAGGTGATGTGAAAATGGCACAGTGTTGTGACAGATCTAGATTGGAAAGAGACTCTACCGCTCGCTCCCTTTTGTCCAGGCAAATAAGTTCAATCTGGCTTTTCTTTAACGTACTTCTGATTTTCAACTTAAAGGTGGGGATAACCCATAAGAGTGGGTGGAATTCATAGGATTCACCCACCAGGTGTTGCCCCTGTTTGGCAACCCCTGCTACTCACTGTTTTTATTTTGGTAGTGACCATTGAAAAGTATCTGATGAAAAATAAAGCCCCAGATCTCAGGATTTCACATTCTCTACCATGGATTTAAGGGTGGAGTAGGACAAACATTTAGAAGAACATAGCCACACAGTTGGATGAATCTATTTCTTTCTCATATTGAGTATGAGTTGAATGACAATTGTGTGAGAAAACCTGAGCAACATTGGGCAGATTTTGAGGTATTTTCATGTTTTTTTTTAAAGTATATAATTTGTCCCATAAAGTTCCAAGTCCTGGCATCCTATCTATGCCACTCAGCTGGCACATAACTTACTTCCTCGTGTTGATTTTTTTTGTATGTATGTATGTGTCCTTATTTTTGTTACTGCTGTTCCCATCTAAATGGTACACACCTTTAGACCAGAAGCATGATTCTAAAATCTTAGTGAGCATCACAGTCACTGGTGGGCTTGTTAAGACATAGATTGCTGGGCCCCAACCCCAGAATGTCTGCATGTCTGATGTGGGACCTGGGACTTCGCATTTCTAGCAAGTTCTCAGGTGTAGTACTGCTGCTGGCCTGAGGACACTTTCTGAGAACCAGCGGAATAGTTAATTTCATCTAATAACACTTAAAACAAGTAAAAGAAAAAACTACCTTATATGTGAAAGATGGCAAATGAAGACAAAAATCTGTTTATGATTCAGTTCAACAACTGTACATTGTACCATACCCTTTTCTAGGTGCTAGGGACAAAAGTAGGGGAGGTAGGTCCTTCTCTTCAAAGTCTATAGCTTCCTAGTATACACTGAAAGATAAACATGGTACATACGCTAAAAATACAATCAGGGAAGTGTGTGAATAAAGCCTAGCTAGTTAGCAGTCATAGTGATTAAGACATCTTTAATTACATTTGCCGTTCCCCAGCGAAGAGCAGTCTCGACTTGCAGCAAGAAAGTATGCTCGTGTGGTGCAGAAGCTGGGCTTTCCTGCCAGATTCCTCGATTTTAAAATTCAGAACATGGTTGGAAGCTGTGATGTGAGATTTCCTATTAGGCTGGAAGGTTTGGTGCTATCCCATCAGCAGTTCAGTAGGTATGATTGTTGCATAACTTAACTCTGAGTTTCCCAAGTTATTAAAGTTCTATTATGGGCTGCTTATATAATGTATTTTTCAGAGAAATATAATTTTTTTAAAAAACTACAATAAGTGAAAAGGTTAAGATGCTATACCTAAGTCCTCACTGGTTACCATGCGTGTCCAATCTTCTGCAATAGTGGTTCTCAAAACTAACTTGCATAGTAATCACCTGGACAGCTTATCAACACACATTCGTGCCTGGGCTGTGGTATGCAGAGATTCTGCTTGAATTTGCAGTTCTAACAAGCTCACAGGTGATGCCAGCACTGCTGTCCAGAGGCCCACATCTTGAGACCCCCTGATGTATAGATTTCTAAACAAATCTGGCTGGGGCGTGGTGGCAGTGGCCAGAAGAGCAAGGGGTATGACATGGATGAGGTTAAGTAGGAAGGGCTGACAGCTGGTGAGGGGAGAAAGGGCTGGAGAGAAGATGAAAAAAAGAATGGCCTTAGCACGTTCTTGGAAGACAATCCTATCTAGTTTTTGTCCTGTTGAGTTTGTTCAAGGGTTTTCTTTTTCTGTGTGTAGCTGTAGCCCCCACTATTGTTTTTTCTTTCACGGATTCATATTCCTTTGGGAGTATCTCTAGGCTGCCTGGCTTCTTCACACGTAACGTCTCCATCTCAACAGCAAATGCGCCTCCTCCTCCCTCAGCTGCTTCGGTGCTTCTCCCAGCCTGCTCAGGCCCTCAGAGAGCTGTGATGGAGGGTGACTGACAAACACCAAATGCCGCCACCCCTTGGGATATACACTTGGGCCAGGGCACTTGAACTGCCTTCGAGTCACAGATGCTCTTAAATTTTCATGATCTAGCTTGAACTGAAGTTCTTTCATTCTACTTTTCCGTCCCTTTGCCTTTGAGCAATCATTCTGTTTAATAGAGTAGAGAGGGATCACATAGCTCTGCTTTCTCTAGCATTTGTGAGCTGACATTTGTTAGCTCTCCTTTGAGACATGACCTAGACAGAAGTTAAAAATTGCCTTTTTCTTCCCCTGACTTTCCAAAAAAATTTGTTCATTCTGAGATTTAGCTTTTATGATACTTTTCAGGCAATATTTATTTTCCCCTTGATTATATTTTCTTTTTTCCTCTGCCTCAATTTTCTTCAGCATAGGCTTATTAAGTGCCTATGAGGTACCCATTGAGTTCATCGGGAAGTCCCCCACGCAAGACATATTCCCTCTTTATGTGTCCTTTTCTTTCTTCAATCTTGGAATAACTCATAGATTTATAGTAAAACCTTCATTTTTAAGAGTCTCTCAACTCATGCTTCGTCTTATCTTCCAGATCCTCAGCCTTGCACCTCCTGTCTATCTTTCTTGGAACCAACTTTTTCTGAACATGGGAAAGATGTTACCAGGGTCTTTTTCCTTTCATAATGTTCACATTTCTAGTTGTGGCCTTTTCTTTTTCACTTAAAGCAGTTCCTTTAACATTTCTTGTAAAGCTGGGTTGGTGGTACTGATCTCTTAGCTTTTGCTTGTCTGTAAAACTTTTGCTCTCTCCATCAAATCTGAATGACAGCCTTGCTGGGTAGGGTATTCTTGGTTGTAGCTTTTTCCCTTTAATCATTTAAAATACATTGTGCAACTCCCTTCTGGCCTGCAGAGTTTCTGCTGAAAAGTCAGCTGTGATAGCCTTATTGGAGTTCCCTTGTATGTAACTTGTTGCTTTTCCCTTGCTGCTTTTAATAGTCTCTCTTTATCTTTAATTTTTGGCAGTTTAAAAAATATTTATTTATTTATTCATTTGGCTGCATCAGGTCTTAGTTGCAGCACACAGGATCTTCGTTGCAGCATGCGGGATCTTTTGTTATGGTGCATGGGCTGGCTTCTCTCTAGTTCTGGCATGCGGGCTCCAGAGTGCATGGGCTCAGTAGTTGCAGCACATGGGCACAGTAGTTGCGGCACAAGGGCTCTGTAGTTGCAGTGCGTGGGCTTAGTTGCCCCACGGCATGTGGAATCTTAGTTCCCTGGCCAGGGATTAAACCCACATCCCCGGCACTGGAAGGCAGATTCTCAACCACTGGACCACCAGGGAAGTCCCAATTCTTGCCATATTAATTACAGTGTGTCTTGGTGTGGTCCTCTTTGGGTTGATCCTGTTTGGAAGTCTCTGTGCTTCTTGGACCTAGACGTCTGTTTCCTTTCCCAGTCTAGGGAAGTTTACAGGTATTTACATACCAAAGACTTTTATTTTCTCTTTTCCCTTTTAGTGTCATAAGATTTGGCTGGAAGATTAGATGGAAACATTTCTTCTGTGCCCCAGACTTCACTTTCTTGGCTCGAACCTTGTAGTTCCCATAGAAGTTTCCCAGGGCTCCAGCTACTGTCATTGTGTCCCCAGTGTCCAGAAGTGGTTTGTGGGTAGAAGTCCTGACAGGCTTTCTGCAGTAAGATAGAGTGATGTCCCAGGAAGACATGTCCACCCGTAATGACCTCCACATACTTCAGATAGGTAGCCTCACCACTGTGATACATCTTGCTGGTGCCAATAAGAAGTTTCACATCTGCTGTGGTATGGGTCTTATTCATTGCAGAATGGAATGGAGTTTTTCTTTGTGACCTGGACTCACCCTTTAAGTGCAAAAATTCACGTGTATTATATATAGTGCTCCATTTCTCAGATTTCTTCATTTTCTTATATCTCCATTAGCCATTGTTTTGAGAATAGTTTTATTTCATCAACTTCTTCTTAACTACTGACTTCTTTTTTAAGCTTCTCAGGCCTTTCTAGGAATCTCTCCTCTTCTCTCTGGTGGAGTGTGGGGAAGCAGTTCTTAGCCCAATCATCCTTTGTTCCTCAGAGAAACCAGCTTACATTTAATAGTAAATATGAGTGAGTTACTATGTATAGGAACAAATCCTGAATTTTTAAAACTTGGGATGGTTTAGTTTTCTTTCTTTAGACGGCATCTGTCCAAAGACAAATTACAGTGGTCTAGAAATTTTTTTAGGTCCTATCCACTAAAAATGTTAACTTTAGGAGTTTATAAATACATACAAAATGTGCTCATTATTGTAGAACTTGGAAAATTTGGAAAATGTGTTATGTATTTTTATTGATAGACTTTTTTTGACAGATGGAGAATATTTAACTAACAAGATCTTAAAACATTAGATCTGATGTCCTAAATTATGTTGATCTATAGCTAATTTTAATTTCATTTCCAAGTGAAATGATTTTCACTTGGAAAAATATTATGACCAAAAATGAATTCTATTCTTGATGGCCACAGAAATTACCTAGGACACTCAAGACTGCTTTTATCAAGATGGTCAAAAGGTTTTTGGTAAAAAAGCTTTTGAAAACTGCTTTTCAGTACACACTGGGTCTCAAATATTATGAGAAAGCAGTTGAATAGTGCTATTTTTAACCTTTTTCTTTTATATCTTAACAGTTATGAACCTGAACTGTTTCCTGGCCTTATTTACAGAATGGTAAAACCACGAATTGTGTTGCTTATCTTTGTATCTGGAAAAGTTGTGTTGACAGGTAAGTTCTAAGATTCTGACTTTCATAAAATTCAATAGCTATGTGTGTGCTTTGCTTTACATTTTAAATAGCTTTATGCACTATTATAAAGCAATTCTTGGTATTTTAGAATACCTGGAAAAAAAATGAAAAGTAGAAAGAAATATAGCATCACCCATTGGCCCCAATAGTCAAACAATATAACTTTTTTCCATGTTTTTATGTCACTTTGATATGTATATACATCTTTATATCCTACCTTTTAACATTATAACATATGTAGCTTAACTCATTGTTACAAACTCTTGATGAAGGCTTTTGACGGCTGAATAGCGTTCCAACAGAAGGGTCAACAAATCTTTTTCTGCAAAGGGCTAAATACTAAATGTTTTAGGTTTTATGGGCAGTAGAGTCTCTGTCACAACAACTGAACCCTGTCATTTTATTGTGAAAGTAGCCGTAGACATCACATAAAGGAAAAGGCTCTGAGGTGTGATTTTAATGTAATTCGTTTAATTTATATATATCAAGTAATTTTCTTCCTCTTCTTTTTTTTTTTTTCCCCAACCATTTAAAATATAAAAATCAGTCTTAGCTCACAGGCTATACAAAAATCAGGCAGCAGACTAGGTTTGGCCAGCAGATCCAAGTTTTCCGACCTCCATTCTAACACGTTATTCCATCAAACTTATTCTCCCATTGTCAGGTGTTTATATGTTCTTTCTTTGCTGCTTATAAATGACACAAAACTTCGGCTGTTTTTATGTGTGGGATCATTTTATTAGTGTAAATGCTCAGAAATTGAACTTTTGTTTAAGGATTGGACCATGTTTAAGGTTCTTAGTACAAATTACTAAATTGTTTTAAAAAGGGTTATATATATATACATAGAACTGTATATATATACAGTTCTCCTATATCATATTTACATTCCTACCAGCAATGTTTCTTAAGTGTCTTTTACGAACCTCATCAGCATTCAAAACAAAAATGTACAAAAGAAAACTTTAACTACATAAGTGAAAGTGATCTCACTGCTTTAACCTCACTGGTACTCAGAACTAGAAATTGATCACTTTTCAACATATCCTGTAAATAGCATTTTATCTTTTGTAAATAGTATGTACATAACTTACTCCTTTCTTGTCTACTTAGTTTTTTAAAATTTTCTTTATTTTAATTTTTAAATTTTAAAAAATTTTATTGGAGTATAGTTGATTTACAATGTTGTGTTAGTTTCAGGTGTACAGCAAAGTGATTCAGTTATACATATACATATATTCATTCTTTTTCAGATTCTTTTCTCATATAGGATATCACAGAATATTGAGTAGAGTTCCTTGTGCTATACCATAGGTCCTTGTTGGTTATCTATCATATGATATTTGTTATCAATCATATGATATTTGTCCTTTTCTGTCTGACTTACTTCACTTAGTATGATAATCTCTGGGTCCATCCATGTTGCTTCAAATGGCATTATTTCATTCTTTTTTATGGCTGAGTAATATTCCATTGTATTTATGTACTACATCATCTTTATCTATTCCTCTGTTGATGGACATTTAGGTTGCTTCCGTGTCTTGGCTATTGTAAATAGTGCTGTAGTGAACACTGGCGGGGGGGTACATTATCTTTTTTAATTCTGGTTTTCTCTGGATATATGCCCAGGAGTGGGATTGCTGGGTCATATGGTAGTTCTATTTTTAGTTTAAGGAACCTCCATACTGTTCTCCATAGTGGTTGTACCAATTTACATTCCCACCAACAGTGTATGAGGGCTCCCTTGTCTCCACACCCTCTCCAGCATTTATTGTTTGTAGACTTTGATAATGGCCATTCTGACCAGTGTGAGGTGATACTTCATTGTAGTTTTGATTTGCATTTCTCTGATAATTAGTGATGTTGAGCAGCTTTTTATGTGCTTTTGGCCATCTGTATGTCTTCTTTGGAGAAATGTCTGTTTAGATCTTCTGCCCATTTTTTGATTGGGTTGTTTGTTTTTTTTGACATAGAGCTGCATGAGCTGTTTGTATATTTTGGAGATTAATCCCTTGTCGGTTGCTTTGTTTGCAATATTTTCTCCCATTCTGTGGGTTGTCTTTTTGTTTTGTTTATGGTTTCCTTTGATGTGCAGAAGCTTTTAAGTTTAATTAGGTCCCATTTGTTTATTTTTGTTTTTATTTTCACTAAGGATTTGTATGAGTTCACCATAATATCGAAAGTAACTACTTTATTTGTGACTTTTTCCAGGTGACTTATTTTTACATAAAGAAGGTTTTTAAAATTCTTGAAGTAAATGGTTGAGACTCTTTTCCTTATTCTTCTCTGCAGTAGTTATTTCCACTATTTTATCTTCCAGGTCACTTATCCGTTCTTCTGCCTCAGTTATTCCGCTATTGATACCTTCTAGAGTATTTTAAATTTCATTTATTGTGTTGTTCATCATTGCTTGTTTCCTCTTTAGTTTTTCTAAGTCCTTGTTAAATATTTCTTGCATTTCCTCTATTTCCAAGATTTTGGATCATCTTTACTATCATTATTCTGAATTCTTTTTCAGGTAGACTGCCTATTTCTTCTTCATTTGTTAGGTCTGGTGGGTTTTTACCTTGCTCCTTCATCTGCTGTGTGTTTCTCTGTCTTCTCATTTTGCTTATCTTACTGTGTTTGGGATCTTCTTTTCGCAGGCTGCAGGTTCGTAGTTCCTGTTGTTTTTTGTGTCTGTCCCCAGTGGCTAAGGTTGGTTCAGTGGATTGTGTAGGTTTCCTGGTGGAGGGGACTAGTGCCTGTGTTCTGGTGGATGAGGCTGGATCTTGTCTTTCTGGTGGGCAGGTCCATATCTGGTGGTGTGTTTTGGGGTGTCTGTGGCCTTATTATGATTTTAGGCAGCCTCTCTGCTAATGGGTTGTGTTGTGTTCCTGTCTTGCTAGTTGTTTGGCATAGGGTGTGCAGCACTGTAGCTTGCTGGTCGTTGAGTGGAGCTGGGTCTTTGTGTTGAGATGGAGATCTCTGGGAGATTTTCGCCTTTTGATATTCCGTGGAGCTGGGATGTCTCTTGTGGACCAGTGTCCTGAAGTTGGCTCTCCCACCTCAGAGGCACAGCCCTGATGCCTGGCTGGAGCACCAAGAGCCTTTCATCCACACGGCTCAGAATAAAAGGGAGAAAAAGTGGAAAGAAAGAAAGAGGATAAAATAAAATCAAGTGAGATAAAGTTATTAAAATAAAAAATAATTAAGAAAAAAAAATTTTAAGTAAAAAACAAAAAACCGGACGGACAGAACCCTACGACAAATGGTGAAAGCAAAGCTATACAGACAAAATCTCGCACAGAAGCATACACATATACACTCACAAAAAGAGGAAAAGGGGAAAAAATAATCTATCTTGCTCCCAAAGTCCATCTCCTCAATTTGGGATGACTCGTCTATTCATGTATTCCACAAATGCAGGGTACATCAAGTTAATTGTGGAGCTTTAATCCGCTGCTCCTGAGGCTGCTGGGAGAGATTTCCCTTTCTTTTCTTTGTTCGCACAGCTCCCAGGGTTCAGCTTTGGATTTGGCCCTGCCTCTGCGTGTAGGTCGCCTGAGGGCGTCTATTCTTCGCTCAGACAGGACAGGGTTAAAAGAGCAGCTGCTTCGGGGACTCTGGCTCACTCAGGCCAGCGGGGAGGGAGGGTTATGGAGTGCAGGGCGAGCCTGGGCAGAGGCTGGCATGACGTTGCACCAGCCTGAGGCGCGCTGTGCTTCTCCCGGGGAAGTGGTCCCTGGATCACGGGACCCTGGCAGTGGCGGGCTGCACAGGCTCCCGGGAGGGGAGGTGGGGAGAGTGACCTGTGCTTGCACACAGGCTTCTTGGCGGCAGCAACGGCCTTAGCGTCCCAGGCCTGTCTCTGGGGTCTGCGCTGATAGCTGCGGCTCGAGCCCGTTGCTGGAGCTCCTTTGAGTGGCGCTCTTAATCCTCTCTCCTCGGCACCGGGAAACAGAGAGGGAAGAAAAAGTCTCTTGCCTCTTCGGCAGCTCCAGGCTTTTTCCCGGCCTCCCTCCCAGCTAGCCGTGGCGCACTAACCCCTTCAGGCTGTGTTCACACCGACAACCTCAGTCCTCTCCCTGGGATCCGACCTCTGAAGCCCGAGCTTCAGCTCCCAGCCCCCGCCCTCCCGGTCGGGTGAGCAGACAAGCCTCTCGGGCTGGTGAGTGCCGGTCGGCACCGATCCTCTGTGCGGGAATCTCGCCGCTTTGCCCTCCGCACCCCTGTGGCTGCGCTCTCCTCCGCTGCCGCTCTGAAGCTTCCCCCTCCGCCACCCGCAGTCTCCGCCCGCGAAGGGGCTTTCTAGTGTGTGGAAACCTGTCCTCCTTCACAGCTCCCTCCCTGAGGTGCAGGTCCCGTCCCTATTCTTTTGTCTCTGTTTTTTCTTTTGCCCTACCCAGGTACGTGGGGGGGTTTCTTGCCTTTTGGAAGGTCTGAGGTCTTCTGCCAGCGTTCAGTAGGTGTTCTGTAGGAGTTGTTCCACGTGTAGATGTATTTCTGATGTATCTGTGGGGAGGAATGTGATCTCTGCGTCTTACTCTTCGGCCATCTTCCTCTGCTTCCTGGAGACTCTTTTCCATACCATTCTACTGAAGTTTACTATTTTTGCCTTATTTTGTCTGACTTTTTCCACATTTTAGTCTCCTGTACCAGGATGAATACCAAGTTTATATGGTACGAGCCACATTGATTATACCCCACCCCCAAACAGCTAGCTAGACATCTTAAAACTACATGTTCTCCTCATTATTAACTTGTGATGACTCCTTTTGACCTTTATTTTTATATATGGGTCTGTTCTCCAGTCCTGCCTTTGCTCCAGAAATATGCTATGATAATCCTATTATATTTATACTATATTGTGGTTATAAATGTGCTTTCATTCTAGTGGTCTCTATATCTGATAGGGCCAGTTTCCCCTCTTTACTCCCCTCTTTATAGCCCCAGTTTACTTCTCTTTTGTTAGCTCCTCTCAAATATTTATTCTTCCA